GCAGAATACACCCCATTAGCTAAGGAGCACGGCAGAAAATGACCAGGAGCACGGCAGAATAGACCTCAAGAGCTAAGGAGCAGGCAGAAAAAGACCAGGAGCACGGCATATTAGGCCCCAAGAGCGAAGGGGCACGGCAGAAAAAGACCAGGAGCACGGCAGAATAGACCCCAGGAGCTAAGGAGCAGGGCTGGATATGCCTCAAGTGCGAAGGAGTACGGCAGAGAAAGACGAGGAGCACGGCAGGATAGACCCCAAAAGCTAAGGAGCACGGCAGAGAATGACCAGGAGCACGGCAGAATAGGCCCCAAGAGCGAAGGAGCACGGCAGAAAAAAACAGAAGCACGCCAGAGTAGACCCCGAGAGCTGAAGGAGTGCGGGAAAATAGACCCCAAGAGCGAAGGAGCAAACCAGAAAAAGACGAGGAGCACAGCAGAATAGAACCCAAGAGACAAGGAACACGGCAGAATATGCCCCAAGTGCGAAGGAGCACGGCAGAAAAAAAGCAGGAGCACGGCAGACAAAGACCAGGAGCACAGCAGAATAGGCCCCATGAGCGAAGGAGCACGTCGGAAACAAACCAGGAGCATGGCAGAATAGACTCCAAGAGCTGCCGAGCACGGCAGAAAAAGACCAGGAGCACGGCAGAATAGACCCCAGGAGCTAAGGAGCAGGGCTGGATATGCCTCAAGTGCGAAGGAGTACGGCAGAGAAAGACGAGGAGCACGGCAGGATAGACCCCAAAAGCTAAGGAGCACGGCAGAGAATGACCAGGAGCACGGCAGAATAGGCCCCAAGAGCGAAGGAGCACGGCAGAAAAAAACAGAAGCACGCCAGAGTAGACCCCGAGAGCTGAAGGAGTGCGGGAAAATAGACCCCAAGAGCGAAGGAGCAAACCAGAAGAAGACGAGGAGCACAGCAGAATAGAACCCAAGAGACAAGGAACACGGCAGAATATGCCCCAAGTGCGAAGGAACACGGCAGAAAAAAAGCAGGAGCACGGCAGACAAAGACCAGGAGCACAGCAGAATAGGCCCCATGAGCGAAGGAGCACGTCGGAAACAAACCAGGAGCATGGCAGAATAGACTCCAAGAGCTGCCGAGCACGGCAGAAAAAGACCAGGAGCACGGCAGAATAGACCCCAAGAGCTAAGGAGCACGGCATCCTAGGCCCCGAGAGCGAAAAAGACGCCAGAAAAAGACCAGGAGCACGGCAGAAGATGCCCCAAGAGCTAAGGACGACGGCAGAAAAGACAGAAACACAGCAGAAAAGGCCCGAGGAGCCAAGGAGTACGACAGAAAAGACCAGGAGCACGGCAGAATAGGCCCGAAGAGACAAGGAGCACGGCAGAAGATGCCCCAAGTGCGAAGAAACACGGCAGAAAATGACCAGGATCACGGCAGAATAGACCCCCAGAGCTCAGGGGCACGGCAGAAGAAGACCAGGACCACGGCAGAATAGACCCCAGAACTAAGGAGCACGGCCGAAAAAGACCAGGAGCACGGCAGAATAGGCCCCATGAGCGAAGGAGCACGGCAGACAAAAAACAAAGAGCACGGCAGAATAGACCCCAAGAGCTGAGGAGCACGGCAGAAGAGGCCCCAAGAGCGAAGGAGCATGACAGAAAAAACGGGAGCACGGCAGAATAGACCCCAAGAGCTGAGGAGCACGGCAGAATAGGCGCCAGGAAAGAAGGAGCATTGCAAAACACGACCAGTGACCAGGAGCATGGCAGAATAGACCGCGAGAGCTAAGGAGCACGGCAAGATAGATGCAAGAATACAGCATAATACGCCCTAAGGAAGAAGGAGTATGCAAGAAAAACACAAGGAGCACGGCAGAATAAACCCCGAAAGCAAAGGAGCACGGCAGAATGTGCCCCAAGAGCTAAGGAGCACGGCAGAAAACGACCAGGAGCACGGCATCATAAGCCCCAAGAACAAAGGATTGTGACAGAAACTGGCCAGGAGCATGGCAGAATAGGCTAGAAGAGCGAAGGAGCACGGCACAAAAAAACAAGGAGCATTTCAGAATAGACCCCAAGAACGAAAGAGCACGGCAGAATAGACGTCAAGAACGAAGGAGCACTTTTTTCGCCGGCCATGCTCCGCCCGATTTTTGAGGATGTATGCAGCGAGAGCGCGATTTTAAACATGAGAGGTATTGAAACCGCCACTCCGAGATATCATTTTTGTTAGGATGTCTCAGGCGAGACGCTAGTTTTTGAACATCTGTCGAATTCGCGGGTTCCCATGTTTACGGGATGTCTCAGGCGAAACGCTTATTGTTGATGAAATCGATGTTGTGAACATTTCATTGTTGTAAGGATGCCTCAGGCGAAATCGCCATTTTGGATCGTCTCGAGGGCGCTCCTGGGGGTCACATTTGGGCTTGTTTGGGGCCTTTGGGGGCCTTCTTGATGCCTTACGAAACCGTTACAGTCCGATGTTACACGCATTCATGTGCTCAGGATGTCCCTAGCGAAATCGTCATTTTTAGATGACTGGCAGGAACCATCTAGAAGCCTTTTCAGGAGCGATCCCCACACGATGTTAAAACAGCAGTTTTCAAAACGATGTTGTTCGATGTGTTATTTTGTTGAAGATGTCCCTAGCGAAATCACTATTTTCAGCAACCTTAAGGGCGCTCGTGGGGCCATGTTGTGGCCTTCTGTTGCTTCCTGATGCCCTCCTAAAATCATTACGATGCGATGTCGCACGCATCAATGTTTTGAGGATGTCCCTAGCGAAATCGACATTTTTTGAAGGCTGCCTTGGGCCGTCTGGAAGCCTTTTCAGAAGCAAGTCAAAACTATGTAAGAACAACAGTTTTCAAGTCGATGCTGGTGTATGTTTTCATTTTTTGAGGATGTCCCTAGCGAGATCGCAATTTTCGGAAGTCCCCCAATCGTTCTGACAGCCATCTTGACGTGCTTTTTGGCCTCTCATTTCCTCATCTTGAGGCACTTCGAGAACGATACCAAGACGACGTTGAGGACATCTCAGCGAAATGCAAATGTTCCGCCGTAGCGAAATGCAAATGCGAAATGCAACGTTGTTGAGGATGTCCCTAGCGAAATGCAAATGTTCTGCCGTGCTCTTCGTTCTGGTCCGCCGTGCTGCCGCTCGTTTTCTGAGGATGTCCCTAGCGAAATCGCAATTCTTAACATAAGAGTTAGTTAAAGACTTCAGTCGTCATCTCATTTTTTCGAGGGTGTCCCGAGCGAAACGCAAATTTCACCGACGGCGACATTTCGCTGTCATCAACTGTTCGAAGATGTCTCGAGCGAAACGCTTGTTTTTGTTAAACGCGATGTCGCGAAGATCTCATTTTTGTGAGGATGTCTCACGTAAAATCGCCATCCCGAGGAATCCGCTAAGCCTGGTACACCGTGCACCCCGTCACCCCCTATAGTTAAGAGATCTCTTACTGATATGAGGAGGATTCAGCCAAAACGTCCAGCTCGCTTCTCGTTCCTCGAAGACGCTTCCCGTCATCCGCCAACCCTGTCGGCGTGTGTGAGGGGCTTGTCCGTCAAGTCGTCATCTCCGTCATTCGTTGATCGTCGTCTCTGTCGTCCCCTTTCCCTGCCTCCCCCCTTTCCCTGGGCTCGTCGAAGCTCCCCCCTTTCCCAGGGACCTCCTCAGCGCGCCAGCCAAAGCGAAGTTGAGCAACGTCGATATTGAGTCGAAGGGAAGGCCCTTCCCTTCGATCCCTCCCCCGCTGGGGGGGGAGCGTCCCAGGGGTGGGTCCCGGGGGGCGTCTGGGGGGCGTCCCAGGGGGGGTCCAAGGGGGGGGGGTCAGATACGACGCCCCCCCTGGGAATCCCGGAGCCCAAAAAAGCCCCAAGATGGGCCAAGAGTGCCCTAAGAGGCCCCCCAAAGACAGTCCAAGAGAACGCCGAATCGCCAAACGATCTGTCCAAGACGCCTTGACGGCCTCCAGACGGCCCAAGAGGCCTGCAAAGCGCCCCAAGAGGCCTCCAGGAGCTTTCCCACGAGAGCCCCAAGAGACACAATTCATGGATTTCCCACACGCTTTTGACAGATTTTGGCGTTCTTGCCTCTTCCGCTTCCCGACACGCCAAGACGGCCCAAGAGGCCCCCAAGATCGCCCCGAGACGGCCCAAGAGGCCCCCAAGAGGGTCCCCTAACGGCCGAAGAGGGCCCCAAGACGGCCCAAGACGCCTCCAAGACGGCCCAAGAGGCCCCCAAGACGGCTCCAGGAGAGTGCCCAGACGGGGGACCCGAACAGACATTTCGAGCTCTCAGCCCCAAGAGACCCCCAAGAGGCCCCGAAGAAGCCCCAAGAGGCCCCAAGAGGCTCCCAAGGGGCCCCCAAACTGTCCCAAGACAGCCCAGGAGAGCCCCAAATTGCCCAGGAGGCCTCCAAGAGTGCCTCGAGACGGCGCAAGAGGACCCCTGGACGGCCCAAGACGGCCTCAAGAGAGCCCCAGGCTGTCCCAAGAAAGCCTCTGGCCTCCTCCTCTTCCTCCTCCCCCTCCTCCTCCTCCTCCTCCTCCTCCTCCTCCTCCTCCTCCTCCTCCTCCTCCTCCTCCTCCCCCCACTCTGCTCCCTCTCCTCCTGCTCTCCTCTGCCTCCTCATCCTCCTCCCCCTGCCCCTCCCCCGTTTTCATCGTCGTCGTTCTCAGGGTCGGCGGCACCGGCCGTAAGGCCTTCGCAATAGTGAACGTGCAACTGCCAATCCAAATCCTTGCTACGGACATTCACCGTGCTGGCTCTTCACTGGGCGAGCTGTGCTGGCTCTTCACTGGGCGAGACATTCAAGGCGGACAATGACGAGACACCTAAATAAAAACTAGCCCATACCTCAAGGCACACTTGAAACACGCAAGCAGTCCGACCAAGATGCATACGACAATGGCTGTGACATGTTTCGGCAGCCTCGCGCCAACAATCTCTTGCCTAACACGGAATACCGATCAGGACGCAAGGGATGAACAAGCAATGTCCCAGAGCTCTTATGGGCCCACGCAATCCTTGCCGTAGGTCAAGTGCGTGATTGAGACGTCATCCATGAGGATGTTGAACTGGCTGGCGCGCTGCACGATTGCCTCGCAAGCAGACAATAGAAACCCAGCTCGCGTGTGGCGGTCCCGCATGTCTTCCTGATGCTCATTTCAACACGGTGTGCAGTGCCCTTCTTCGCTTCACCTCGTTTGGAGGAACTTGCAATGTTGGTTCAATGTGATGCGTGCATTCGCAACCTTGAAGAGGCCCAAGGACACACACACATAAATACACACCAATAAACATATTCCCCATAGCTTTCCATATGTTTTGGGTTTTCGTTTTCGCTCCCACTTCCCATATGCTCCCATATTTTCTGGGGAATCGACGATTAATTGTGTCTGTGTGTTTCCCATCTTGAAACTTGGCCGATGACTTGCTCAGTGGCAGTGGAAGCGGGGAAGTGGGTTTAACGAGAGGGCAACAGGGGCGTTGCTTTCGCAACGTCTGTCATGTGATATCCATGGATTCGTTCCTCCCAGCGTGCGCGCTATGCCCACCAAGAGAGCTAACACATCGCTTGCACCGACACGCCTCCTTACCCAGCTTCCCAGCCCTTCCCATGCTCCTCCCCATAGCTTGATCAGCATAGCCAGTAAACCGCTGATCGAAACAAGCGGTAAGTTTTCTTCGTACGCCTCATCCGAACTGTTGGAGATGGTGATCGGTGTGGTATTCGTTGTTTTGCCGATCGGCGCATGCCTTCGAACCTCATCTCCCCCATGGAGTGGATCATGCCTGTTGTTGGCGCCTGTTTTCATCAGGTGAAATCTCCCCCATAAGACGCACTGTTGCAATCACTCGCATTAAACAGAGGTCCAGAGCCAGACCCCCCACCCACCCCCCTTCCGCCCAATGTCGAGACTCCGAATAACAAAACGTTCACATGTTCCTACTGCTGGTGGCACTGTTCCTGCTGTTGCTTCTGGTCCTTCACCGCCCACCCTCCTCGCACTACTAATGTCATCGCCCTCGAATGCTCCCCGACTCCTCGTCTTGCCATCGTGATGGTGCTGCTCCTCCCCCTTCGCTTCCCCTTCCTCCTCCTTCTCCTTCTCATTCCAGCTACGCTCCTCCTCCTCCTCTTTCTCCTCGTGCTCCTCGTCCTCGTCCTCCTCCTCCTCCACCTCATCCTTCTCATCCTCTTCATCCTCCACTTCCTCCTCATCCTCATCATCACCATCATGATCATCATCCTCATCAGCATCATCATCATCATCATCATCATCATCAACATCACCATCATCATCATCATCATCATCATCATCATCATCATCATCATCATCATCATCATCATCATCATCCTCATCAGCATCAGCATCATCATCACCAGCATCGTCATCACAATCATCATCATCAGCATCATCATCAGCATCATCATCATCCTCATCATCAGCGGCATCATCAGCATCACCATCCTCATCATCAGCGGCATCATCAGCATCATCGCCATCATCATCATCAGCATCATCATCAGCATCGTTAGCATCACCATCACCATCACCATCACCATCATCATCACAATCAGCATCATCAACACCATCATCATCAATGGCATCAGTATCATCGTCATCATCATCACCATCATCATTGGCATCGTCATCGTCATCATCGCCATCATCGTCATCATCATCAGGATCAGCATACTCATCAGTGTCAGAACTATCATCATCGTCATCCTCAGCAGCATCACCATCAGCATCATCATCATCATCATCATCATCATCAGCAGCATCATAATCATCAGCATCAGCATAATCTCAGCATCAGCATCAGCATCAGCATCAGCATCAGCACCATCATCATCAGCATCATCGTCAGCAGCATCATGAGCATCATTATCATCATCAGCAGCAGCATCATCATCATCATCATCACCCATCTTCATCATCATCCATCATCATCATCATCACCATCATCATCATCATCATCATCATCATCATCATCATCACCATCACCATCACCATCATCATCATCATCATCATCATCACCACCACCACCACCACCATCATCATCATCATCATCATCATCATCCTTGTCTCCATCCTCAACCTTCTCCAGGTCCTCCTCCCTGCCCTCCTCCCTGGCCTCCTCGTCCTCCTCCAACCGCTCGTCCCTCATTTTTCTCCTCCGTTCTCATCTCCATCGTCATTCCCTTCGCACCCCTGCTGCAACCTACGGATCCTGTTGAAACTCGCCTGAGGTGTCAGGGGCCGTTTTGGATCTCGGGGCCCGCTTGGAGCAAGTTGGTGCGCCTGTTGGACACATCGTAGGGCCATGGGGCGCGTCGTGGCTCTCTTTCTCCGACCCGATCGGACAATCTTGGGGGACTAGTTGACCCATCTTGGCGCGATCGGGCCGTGTCGCCCCCCCCCTCCCCCTCGAAGGCCTCAAGAACTCGCTTGCTGGTGGGCCTCCCAGGGACCTGTCCAACATGAGAGGCGCTCTGGGACCCCCTGGAGCCGAAACACGTAATCTACCGCACGTGTCTTCTGAGACAGCTGATCTAACACATCGTGCAGTCGTGCAATATAGAAAACAACGGGCAATGCTTCTCCTTGTCCAGCGTGGCCCCGTCGTCCGCTTTCAGCATGTCACGCGTTGTCTGGAAGGCATTCGGCGATCGGTAGCGCAGACTGTATGATCGGAGCGGGCACACGAGTCCCAGCTCCGTTTCGCCTCGGAGGAACCAACGACTCCATGGGTTGGTTGGGCCAACTCGTAAGCCAAGCGGGGTGGCGTCGCAGTGCGCCGACCCTCGCTTCCCAACAACGACAAACTCGAGTCAGTGCAACACGAACCCGCCAAGATGAGCGGTGGAGCAGCGATCCCCCCCTCGGATTTTTTTTATTCCCTACCTAGGCTCTGCCTAGAAGGGTTCTTACTCTCTTAGCTTAAGGGGCCGGGCAATGGAAAGCGCCCCGGGCGGTTCCCCCGGTCCCCGCCCCGCGGTTCCCCCAGTTGCGCCCCCTGGGTTCACCCAGCTTAGCTTAGCTTATCTCATCTTAGCTTAGCTTAGCTTTGTCTAGCCTAGCTTGGTTTAGCTTAGCTTAGCTTAGCTTAACTTAGCTTATCTCATCTTAGCTTAGCTTAGATTGGCTTGGCTTGGTTTAGCTTAGCTCAGCCTAGCTTAGCTCAGCTCAGCTCAGCATAGCTTCGCTTACCTTAGCTTAGCGCATCATAGCGCAGCGCAGCATTAGCACAGCATAGCATAGCATATCATGACCAAGCATAGCATAGCATAGCATATCATAGCATAGCATAGCTCATAATAAAACAAATCATATCATATCATAGCATAGCATAGCATAGCGCAGCACAGCACAGCATGGCATAGCAATGCTTAGCATAGCACGGCATAGCATAGCATATCATAGCATAGCGCAGCATAGCGCAGTATAGCATAGTATAGCATAGCAGAGCATAACATAGCATAGCGCAGCATCGCATACCATAACATAGCCTAGCCTAGCATAGCATAGCATAGCGCAGCATAGCATAGCATAGCATAGCATAGCGCAGCATATCATATCGTAGCATAACGCAGCATAGCATAGCATAGCATAGCCTGCTATGCTAGCATAGCCTCCTATGTTCCTAGGAAAGTGCATATGTAGATGTAGGTGTAGGTGTAGATGTTGATGTAGGTGTAGATGTAGATGTAGATGTAGATGAAGGTGTATATGTAGATTTAGATGTAGATGTGAGTCTCGCTGTTGATGTAAATGTAGATGTAGATGCAGGTGTAGATGTAAATGTAGCTGTCGGTGTAGATGTAGATGTTGCTTTCCTAAATGCTCCAACTCCTAGGTAGGGTCGCACTGGGATAATTACCATCGCACAACCTATTGACAGCACGTGGGTACTTAACTCTGAAGCCATGGGTCTGCTCTTGCGCTGCCGCCGCGATGACATGACTGTCGAGACGCGCGGGAAGCAATTGGGTGCGAGACTAGGCTTCAGCACGCCTGGTACTGTGCCGAAGCAGGGTGGCCGCCAGCGCCTACTCCGGAGCGTCGTCAAGGCGCTGAAGAAGGCGATGGGCCACACAGCCTGCGCCGCTGACACACAGCACCACGTCTCGGAGCTGCACATCTTGGGGAGCGAGAGGAACTGAGTGCACGGTTTCCCCCCGGGCCGTAGGGGACCCGAGGAGGAGGAGGAGGAGGAAGAGAAGGGCAGGGAGCAGGAGGGAAGGGAGGGAGGACGACGAGCCTCAAAACTCAAGACTCAAGCGAGCGACGGTCAGAAACCGGTCGCACGCGAGACTGCGCAGCGACCTGACGCAGTATCCTGTACGGCTGGGCCGCCGGCGCGGCACGCCACGCCTCAGGTGCGTGGCAACATGACCCATCTATACAAACGCACGAATGCCACGGCAGCTTGCCGCCCTCGCTCAAGGAGGTGGGGCGTACTCCGCTCTAAAGGTGGCGAGGCGAGGGACCCGCCGACACCTCGAGCGCTCTGCCTGCGGCGCCAGCCCGGGGGCGCCACTGAGCACCGCTGCATGCCAGCCTTTTGTACTGGTGTGCCGACCGGACCGAAGTGTGCATGCGATTACCGCAAATTCGCACAGAAAGCGCATGTCACAATCCAGCCGCGGCCCCAGAAGAGCAGCACGACATAATGAAACCAACACTGATCTTCGTAGAAGACAACGTCACCTGAGGCAGTGTCCCCCTCCACCACCGCCGCATCCTCCGCCACCCTCAAGACCCTCCTGCGTCCGTCCCTGACAGGGGAGCGGATTCTGCTACATCCACATCACGAATTCAAAATTACCCTGTGACGTACCCAACCCATTTGTATCAATGGAAACGAGGAGTTGGCCGAAACTTGCATGGACAATCAACTTGATGTGTAAGCTACTTGGGACACGCGCCTATGGCATGATGCGCAGGATAACCATACAAGAACGAGGGGCGACAACTACAGGCTCGAAGAGGACATGGGGAGTCGGGAACGCAGAGCAGGAGAAAAACGTGCGGGAAGCCGAACCATCAGCACGGCAGCAGCAGAGGGAAGGTGACTGCAGGAGGAGAACAAGGA